ATGCTTTTATGTCAATTTATACTTATTTTATACTCATTTTGTGTGCAGCTTATCTGTGCAGACCAGGCTTTGTGCTGCAGAGGGTGATGTGTTTTAGAGGAATGAAAATAAGCCTCTGGGAGTGTTTTTACCGTAAGATCTGGCCCGTCTTACGGTTACAACGACCCTGAGTTTGCTGTAAACAGGTCTTTCATCCACCCACGACCTTGGGTTTGAAAGACATGTTTTTATGAGCCATCGCTCTGTTGCACAGACTGCTTTGATGATGGAAAACATGTTTTAATGAGATACCGACTTTCTGTCTGTCCTCCTGACAACCATCAAAACTTGTTTTTCACTGCTCTCACGCGATCCGGTCAGGGAGGGGTATATAGGAGGTGTGACAGGCAAGGGAAGTCAGAAGCCTGCTGCGGACCACGCGCGAGGTGCCCAGCTCAGTTTTGACGTGATTTCCTGTCATCGGGTCGAAGGCTTCCCGATCAAAGTGTCACGGTGAGAGGCTTTCATATCAATTTGTGTGTTAAGAGTGTACGAGTGTACATGTTTTTGCTTGGCTGTTTTTCTGTGGCAGATTAATAAAATGACACTATTATTCTAGCAGGACAGTCTACTTGTGTTTCATTTTCCTCTCATGTGAATATCCGGTGCCGACCGTTCACGACCCCTGTTAAAGAAATTTCATAAAACAGTGCCTTTTAAGACATCCAAGGACACTTCACAACATTAAAATCACAGAATAAAACACAAAATAAAACAATACAAAATGGCTTTAAAAACAGGAAACCAAAAAGAAAACAACATAAAATTACCATAAAGTGAGAAGGCTAACTTGAACAGATGAGTTTTGAGTTGTGATTTGAATGTCTAAAGGGAGTCAATATTACAGATATCTGGGGGAAGAGCGTTCCAGAATTGGAGAGCAGAGTGAGAAAAGGCTCTGTGTCCCACGGTGCTGAGGTGGACGAGAGACACGTTGAGGTGGATGGAAGAGGAAGAACGAAGGGAGAATGAATGGGTGATAATGTGCAGGAGATCGGGCAGATAGGGAGGGGTGAGGTTATGGATGGCCTTGAATGTGTACAACAGGATTTTAAATTGAATTCTGAAAGTGACTGGAAGCCAGTCAAGTTGCTGTAAAACTGGGGTAATGTGGTGAAATGAAGGGGTTTTGGTGACAATGCGGGTAGCTAAATTTCGAACCATTTGAAGTTTACGGAGTAATTTTTTTAGCAGACCAAATAGGAGAAAGTTGCAGTAATCAATTCGAGAAATGACCAAACTATGGACCAGGATGGATGCAGAGTGCGGGGAGAGGGATGGACGGAGACGGTTGATGTTTCGAAGGTGGAAGTATGCAGAGCGGGTGATATTATTGATGTGAGAGTGAAAAGAGAGAGTGCTGTCAAGAATGACACCCAAACTCTTAACGTGAGGGGAGGGAGAAACCATGGAGCTGTCAATGGTGAGGGAAAATCTGTTGACTTTAGATATGGTGGATTTAATGCTGATGAGTAGAAACTCGGTTTAATCACTGTTTAATTTAAGGAAGTTAGATGTAAACCAGCTAAGCAGGATGTGAGAGAGGAAGTAGGAAGTGAAGAATTAGGTGCAGTGGATAAGAAGAGCTGGGTGTCGTCAGCAAAACAATGGAAGTGAACGTTAAATTTACAGAAGATATTGCCAAGGGGGAGAGGGTAGATGATAAAAAGAAGAGGCACCAGGACATAGCTTTGGGGCACACCTCAAGTCACGGGGGAGGAGTGGGATCTGAATGATTTAGGTTGAATGAACTGAGTGCGGCCAGAGAGATACGACTGAAAACAAGTGAGAGCTGTATGGATGATGTCAATGGATGAAAGTCTGCAGAGGAAGATGTTGTGGGAGATGCTATTAAATGCCGCACTAAGATCGAAGAGGATGAGGAGAGAAAGTAAACCAGAATCTGCTGCCATGAGAAGAGTGTAAGTGATTCTAAGGAGAGCAGATTATGTGCTGTGACCAGGGCGGAAACCAGACTGGAACTGTTCATATACTGTTTTTGGTTAAATGGAGGTGGAGTTGAGAAGCGACTGTTTTTTCCAGAATTTTGGAGATGAATGGAAGGCTAGAAATAGGGCAAAGATTACTGAAAATATTTGGATCCAATCCAGGCTTCTTAAGGATCAGAGTGACAAGTGCAGTTTTGAAGATAGTTGGGACAGTTCCTGAAGAAAGAGTAGCGTGAATAATGGCAGAAATGATAGGGAGAAGTGAAAAAAGGCAAGATTTTACAAGCACTGTTGGGAGAGGATCCAGAGAACATGTGGAGGGCTTGGATTTCAGAATGAGTTTGGTTATTTCAGAGGCAGGAGGAAGCTGAAAGGCAGAAAAATGCTGACTGAGGGGAGAAGGTTCAGGGGAGGGAAGAAGACGAGAGACAGGACAAAGTTGCTGATTAATTTTTCTGATTTTATCATTAAAAAGAACTTGAGAGAATTACAGGTGTCATCTGAATAGAAGTGAGAGAGAAGAGAGTCAGGGAGATGAAAAGTATTGTTTAACAATGCAAACATGATCTTGGCGTTACCTTTATTGGAAGAAATGAGGCCAGAGTAGAAAGTATATTTAGTTTGTGAGATTAAGATCTTGTAATGTGATGTCTGAGAGATGTACATGTCCTTATGGATGGTAAGACCAGATTTTTTTATAGAGTCCTTTCAGATGACGACATCTGGCTTTGGTGGACCAGAATTCAGGAGTAAACCAGGGGGCAGAATGAGTAAAGGTAACAGATCGTGTTTTAACTGGAGCAAGGGAGTTGAGAATATGGATTAATTTATTATTATATTGAGCAGTAAATTGATCAGGAATCAGAAGATGTTCAATCAATCAATGAGTGGAGGTAATACTAGATGAAAGAGAATCCAAATTAATGTCTTTAATGTTACTGAACAAGATGAGCCAGGCTGTCTTGGTTGGTGAAACAC